GGCTCACACCTGTAATCCCAGCACTTTGGGAGGCTCAGGTGGGTGGATCACCTGAGGTCAGGAGTTCACGACCATCCTGGCCAACATGGTGAAACCCTGTCTCTACTAAAAATACAAAAATTAGCTGGGTGTGGTGACAGGCACCTGTAATCCCAGCTACACGGGAGGCTGAGGCAGCAGACTCGCTTTAACCCAGGTGGCAGAGGTTACAGTGAGTCATGATCATGCCATTGCACTTCATCCTGGGCAACAAGAGTGAAACTCCGTCTCAAAAAAAAAAATTAGTTCAGGAAAGCATTGTTTAAGATGATCAGAACCACTAGTTAGAAGAGAGGCTCCCATCTGGACTTCTGCCCTACATATTATGTTCTTATTTTATTGTGCCCTTGCTATATAAGTGTAAAACCCACCATTTCATAGGAGAAAGAGAAATACTTCATTTTCACTCTAAGAAGTAGCATATCGGGTCCATCCAGGAATAATGGAGAGTCTCAAAAACAAACATAAGAACTTAACCTCTTAGCATACCACATAAACAAGAAAGACTTCCTCATTTCTAGACGGTCTCCTCATATGTCTAACTGGCATTGATAATATGGTACTGGTATCTCCCTTCTTTCTTTTAATGCTACATTTTAAAAAGTCTGCATTCATTCAATATTTAGAGTGTCTCTGTTAAATGTTGAATAATGTGCTAAAGAGTTAAGAAGCCATGTCCTTACTATAAAGTAGATAATAGTCTAGTTGGAAGAAGGAGAAGTAATCCATTACAGTACAATGAGGTGGGTGACATGGTAAGATTTGTGTTGTGGGCAAGGAGCAAATAGGTTCAGACTATAAAGGCTTTCCATGAAGGGAAAAATTTTAAGTGAATCATGAATAACAGGAATGCTATTAACACATATAAGGGAAAGAATGCGTAGCTAGCAAAAGAAACAACTTATGAGCTTAGGTTTTCTGTGGCCCTAAATTGAAGGTCAGACAACAAATTCTGAGATGATGATTCTCATGCAACGAGTTTGTTTATTGGAGAAAGCTATGGAATCAACATTTGTGAGAAGAAAAGGCAGGACGGTTAGGCAAGAGGGAAAGCTAAGCTGCAGTGTGGTCACAAAATGGCCTTAGCCAATAACAGGAGGCTGGGGAATGTGGTCTGAAGCTGGGATGACTCTTCGCAGGTGGAGTAAGGGGCCTTCACACTCCCACATAGACCAGTTGTTGAATACAAGCAGACCCTAGGGAGGAGTAGAAAACTTCGGTTAAACGACTTTAGCCAAAGGCAATTCCATGAATGGCCCCCAAATCTATTTACCAAACATTTATACTTGTCTAAAGAAGAGATTACTGGATAAGTTTGCCATTTTTCACCTTGGAATGAATCCTCTGTCCTCCAGAGGTTTGATTTTGTGTCCACAACACATTCTTTGTCCAATCAGCATTGCTATGGTTAAAGTTTTGATTTCACTCAACCACATGGTATGAGGACCAGAAATCCTTACAGAAAATAAAACAAAACAAAACTAAACTTCTTTTAGTCCATTTTCCTTAAAAGGCAGTTATTGTCATGGGGTGCACCTAGGATATAACAGTTGCTACATATAGCTTCTTTAAGAAGGAAAATGTCTGATTTGCTGCTGTGAAAAGGCAGTGATAGAAAAAAACAAATCTTCATCAACTAACTCCTATATAGGGTGCTCACTTTTTCCAGATGTCATAAGAAATATGAGATCAGTAGCCTTAAAAAAAACTATGCCTTCATCTCTTAAAAACCTACCAAGGCCATCAAGAAGTAGGGGTATGGCTTACCACGTGTAATCATAGGACCAGCAGCAACAGCATCATGTGAAAACTGTTAGAAATGTAATTACTCAGGCCACACCACAGACCTATTGAATCAGAAACAGTGGGATGGGACCATGCAATCAGGGGTTTAACAAATCCTCCAGGTGATTCTGATTCATGTTAGAGTGGGGCTTAACTTATAGCAGGTGCCCTTTACAAGAGTTCTTTTTATTTTTAAAAATAGAGATGGTATCTCACCATGTTGCTTAGGCTGGTCTCACACTCCTGGGCTCAAGCAATCTGCCTGCCTTGGCCTCCCAAGGTGCTGGGATTATAGGCATGAGCCACTGTACCCAGCCTGTTCTTTTTTTAAATTTCAAAAATATAATAATTTTATTTTTTCCTGATTCTAAAAGGAATCCTTATTCATGGGAGAAATATTTAATCCAAAAAGTGTAAGTGAAGTACTATGAACATTTTCATGCATTTCTTTTCATATACTTTTCATGAATATTTTATTTGTAGAAAATATGATGATGCTGTTATTATTTTGTAACCTGCTTTTGGATTTAATGATTTGTTTAGCTCAATACATATAGATGTAACAAAAATATAACTCAGCCTGCAAGTAGAAATGAACCTACCCATACTCCAAGCCTTTCCATGTGCTACTAAGCCAGGAGTCAAATCTTTTAATACGTTTCTCCTTCCCAGTATTCCCAAGTTTAGAACTCTGGTTTTGGAGTTTTAAAAGGGCAGACATATTTAAAAGTAACAATTTTTTATTTTGTGCTAGGCATTGAGGTGATTATACAAACAGGATATCAACTTCATAAACCTACATGTTTGGGAAAACATTAGGATATAAAGTATTAGTTTAAACGTCTAAATATGAGTATTATTTGCTAAATGTCTCCATTTGACAGTTCCTTCATTCTGTTCTCAGTTCTTAAGAAAGCAATGTCAAGAGAAAGGGAAATACCTTTTCTTTAATTCAAGACTGCAGAGACCATTGTGAACTTGAATAAAGAAAGCTAGGAGAAAATTATTATTACTGTTATTATTATTTTGCAGTGATGTTGCACAATGTTATTCAGGTTTGAGTTGTCAAGAACACAGTGCAGGCTTTTGAGTCAGGCTGACTTGGGGTAAGATCTTTGCTCTGGTATCTGCAAGCTCTGTGGCTTGCTACATTACTTTGAGCATTTTACTTCACCTTTACAGTCTTGTTCTCACTTGAGAAAAAATAATAATAACAGAAAGCATTTTGTGAGGTCAATTTGAAAATTGGATAACGTGTTAAATGAAGGATTTGGTTCTACAAACTTCCTGGTTTCAAGAACAACAAAAAAATTTTACAAATAATGAGAAGAAAAGTAACTTGTATTTGCAGTCCAGTGTGGTATTTCTCCTTCCTCTACTTCACTACCTTTGTGTGAACTTGAAGGTAAACAGATCAATCCCTGGCCGCAATGTGAAGTCAGCAAAGACTTGCTTCTGATTGCCAGCCTCTGCTTCCTTACCCCTCTTCACTATTGCAGGTGACTGTCTCACTTTCAGGATCCTATTCGGTTCCTAATCTTCCCTTTCAAACCAAGTCTAAAGTACCAGCCATTACTCACTTGCACTAATTAAACTGGAGTATGCTTTGTTCTTCACTGAGTTTTTACATTTACCACTGACTTTTACCTCCAATTATGCAATGAATCTGATGTAGAACATGATTTATGGTAGTAGAACTAGCATCAGAGTTTTGGGCCATGGCTCTGCTGCTTACAGTGGACAAAAGTGGGATAGCCACCAAGCCTCAATGAACTTTAGTTTCTCTGCCCCCACATTGTTCCGTGGTGACTTCTGGGAGTTCCTGGCTAGAAGAGCTGGAATCCCTCCATCACTGGCATCTCCCAGGAGCAGGAACTCTCCCCCTTGGCACAGATGTGCTTCTCTCCAGCCCTCCTCCAGGCAGACATCCCAACCAGGGGCAGGCTAACTCAGTGCTGTTCCTTTTGACCTTCACCAGCCAGACTCCCTCATGCATATTTCTGATAACTGTGACTTGTTACATACATTTTAAATTGTTATCTTAATTTGTAATATTCACACGATTTAATATAAAAATTTTTAAAGGAGCTGTAAAATCTCTCCCACCCTAATCTTCTTCTTCAGCCTTCCTTCTTCCCCTAAATACAGGTAATCATTGTAATTTATTTCTTATTCTTTATTTACATACAGTAAGGACAAACATAAATTTTATTTAACATTTTCACCCCAAATGTAGCATTCTATTTACACTGCTCTGTATCTCACCTATTTTCAACTTTTTCAAAAAGAAATATCCTCTCATTTGTTTCTCCAGCTGAATAGTGTTCCTTTATATGAATATGCCTCAACTGTCTTTAATTAGGAAAATCGAGATGGTTTCTTGTCTTTTGGTATTACTAATAGTACTGCAGAGAATAATGTTGTTTGTAAGTTATATCACACATGGGCAAGTTTTGGGTTTTTTTCTTTTTTTTTCTTTTTTTTTTTTTTTTGAGATAGAGTCTCGCTCTGTCACCCAGGCTGGAGTGCAGTGGCATGATCGCAGCTCACTGCAACCTGCGCCTCCCAGGTAGCTGGGATTACAGGTGCCCACCACCATGCCTGGCTAATTTTTGTATTTTTGGTAGAGACGGGGTTTCACCATATTGGCCAGGCTGATCTCGAACTCCTGACCTTGTGATCCACCCTCCTTGGCCTCCCAAAGTGTTGGGATTACAGGCATGAGCCACCACACCCGGCCATAGGCAAGTATTTTTATAGGACACATTTCCAGGCCTAGAATTTATAGATGAAAGTTTACATGCATCTATAATTTTGATAGATATCACCAAATTGCCTCCATAGTGATTGTACTATAAATGGCATGCATGCTATTTAATTTGTATTTTTATTATCATGAGTGAGATTGAACCTCTTTTAATGTCTTTTTTTTCTCTGCAAACTGCTCATGTCCTTTCACCATATTTCTATTGTGTCTCCTGTAATGTAAATATTCACTGTGTAATAGTATTTTCAAATCTTATACTGCAAATTATTCCCAGTATTTCCCATTGTCTCTAGCAATTTCTGGCAAATAAGCCAATCATTGCAATGGAGTTCTATGTTAAGGAAAGTATTTTTACATTAGTGGCATATTTCATTGTATCTACCCAGCAGCCTGCATGAAAATACACACATTTGAAGAATCAACCATATCAATGAATTTATTTTGACTTATAAACAATTTAAAATGGATAGAATATATAAAGCCACATTACAAAATAAAAACAATTGTGGTCAATATGCACAATCTTAAAACACAGATAAATATATATATACAAAATCAAAACAGTGTGATTGTACTATAAATTGTATTACTATTCTATGAAGAACAGAAATAATCATGTTTGGAGAAGTCCTCTAGTTCCTCCACCTACCTTGGGCTTCTACAACTCTGTAGTAAGCTCTTGTTTCATGTCGTTCAAGGGTCTGTTCCTTGTTTTCTCAGCTTTTCTATGAGACTGAACACAAAGAAAAGACATCGGTTGATTTCTACTTGGACAATGGCCCAGGCACAGCTGCTGTAGTCCTGGTTTTCCAGGTAATCATGGATCCTTCGGAAGTACATTTTAACTTGTAATCTAAGGTTATCACTACCCAAAGTACCACTTAGCTTCTCTGCTTCCAGTCCCATGAGTGCTTCTAGGTATTCTAGCTGTTGATGAAGTTGAATTAGGAATTTCTCCATGTGATTTTCCTCCCAACCATCCAGAGAAATATTTGCCCTGAAGAGGCTGAAGATCTGCTGAAGCATCTCATGGAGAATGGCCAGAGTATGTCCTTTTTGGTACTGCTGAGGACTCAAAGACTTCTGAGGAAGCAGAAAGTTTTTCCTGTGTGGTAGACACAGGTGAATTGATGAGGTTTGCAACTTATTCAAGAGTTTTAAACTTTCTTGATTCACTCTTTTTTGCTGGAAGAGAATCAGTTTCAAATCTAGAGAGAAGACAGTGGTAGAGGCCAGCAGCACCAACACAATTTCAAAGAAGTGCTTGATAATCATGGTGAAGGTCAAATATGCTACTTATCTCAGCATAGACTTAGGGAAATTCCAACTCTAGTGAATGAATGTTTGCCTTTTGTGCATCTCAGATTATTTTGGAGAGTGTTCTCTTTTGTTGGTTTTGTTTTCTAATGTCATTTCTGCAAGTTTACACATTAGATTTTCAGGTTCCCTTTTCATGGTGTTCAGAGTACATTTTCTCCATTTCCCTATTGGGTTGGCTATTTTGAGGAAGTAACCAAAATAACTTATTCATTGTATGCTTTCCTCGAGGCAATTACAGACTAGTCAGCCAATATAATCTTTTATTATTCTATTCATTATGTACAAAGTTTCACTGAACACAATGTGCTTTCTAAATATTTAGTCAAGCTTATTAAAGTTCTTTTATTGAGATTAAGTTTTTTTCAGTAATATTCTTTCATGGAGTAAAACTTATCAAAGGCTTAGCAGCACTTATAAGGAATTCAGAGGCAAAACTTAAAATACCTACAAACGACTAAATTTAAAACCTCAACTGGAACTGTAAATTTTCACAAATGCTTGAGCAAATTAACTTTAAAACATACATGAGCAATCTTAAATTATTTTATATCTTATCCTATCAGTTTAATATCTAAGAGTCTAGCCTATAGAAGCAATGTGAAAAAAATAGCAAAGAATGTTGTTATAATATTATTGCAATGGCAGAATATTAGAAACAACCTATAGGTTCAACAACAGGCAAATGATTACATATATGTTGGTACATCCATATAATTAAACGATATGTATCCATTATAGATGATAAAATTATATGTGAAGAGAGACTGTGGGCATTTGGTTAGTGTATATTCCCTAGAATAGTGATAACTCTGGTAAACTAATGTGAACATCTCTACATTAACAATGTCCTCTGAATTACAAATACCCATATTCTAAGTTCCTCTTGAATAAGCCCCCAATCTACCTTTCCAATCTTATCCCACTGTTGCTCTAAGTATAGTGTGAGGGAATGTGAACTCCAGAAAAAGTGATTTAGTATTCCCTTAATACAGCTAGCGCTTTTGTGTGTGTGTGTGTTTGTTTATTGATGATGCTTTCTCTGAAACATCCATCACCTGTTGCTTCCTTTACCTCAAGAACCTCTCTGTGCAAGGACTAAAGACTACTTGTCCTTTAAGGCCCAGATCTCCCCCAAGGAGCCATAATCTTCTGGATCCCCACAACACTTTGTACCTACCTTATTTAAGACACCTTTCCTGTTCTGTCTTATATTTGACTATGAATTTACATGATTAAAGGTCTCTTCAGAGTGTGAAATAAACACTGATAACTGATTTCTTTACTGTCTATACAACTATAGTAGTTGCTTTGTAAATATGTGTTGACTTGGAATAAATTAATATGTTCTACACAAAGTAATACAAGATGTCGAATCTTATCTTTAATCATTTTTCTGCAGGCAGCTGGGTGAATCCCTAAATGTCGAAAACAGGCACTCTGTAAACATGTATGGTCTCATTATATACCAGCTCAGCTGTATGTCTGGTCACTTACTCTAGTATTAATAAGTTGAAATAAACTGAGTCAGCATGCTCCACAGAGGGGTCTTTTCCCTCCCTATCTGAGAGACAGGAGAGAGAGAGAGACAGAGACAGAGAGAAAAGACCCATGATAATATATAATATACAAAAGGAATAACACTTGTTTCATAACATTATGCTTAATCTATCTGGACAGTAGAATTTTGACTAGTCTCAAAAAATCTTTAAATATTTTATGCTGAGCTTCAGGAAAACAATATAAAAATAAATTAAGGATATCAGGCGTGGCTCTGTCTAATAACAAGCTCTGATCTATAATTAAGGCTTTCTCATCATTTTCATTCAATTGACAAAAATGATCTAAATGTTGTTTAATTTACAAATGACAGGGATTTTTCAGATGCCTTTCTGTTACTGATTTCGTATTTGAATCGTTGTGGTCAAAGAATGTAGTTTAAACTTATTGAGGCTTATTTTATGGCTCAGAATATGGTTTATCTTGATGACAGTTCCTTGTGAACTTGAAATAATAATGTTCTACTTTTGTTGGTTGGACTGTTTTATAAATGTCAATTAGGTTAAGCTGGTTGAAAGTGTTTGAAATTTTCTATATCCTTTCTGACAGTCTATTTGTTCTATCAACTATCAAGAGAGAATTGAAATCCCTAGTATAGTTTTAGATTTGCCTATCTCCCATTTAAGTTCTATCAGTTTTTCCCTTATTTATTTTAGAACTTTAGTATTAGGTGCACCATATTTAGGATTACTATGTCCTCTTGATGTATTGACCCCTTTATTTTAAAATGTCCCTCTGTATCCTTTGCATTATTCCTTACTCCTAAATCAACTTTCTCTGATAACCATTTATGTTTTTTTCAATTAGTGTTAGCATATCTTTTTTGCATCTTTTAATTTTTTAACTTATTCATGTTATATTTAAAGTGAGTTTCTTTTACAGAGCATATAGTTGGACCTTGTATTTTATTCTGTCTGACAATCTTTGCTTTATTAGAGTGTTTAGGTCATTAAACTTAATGTAATTGTCAGTATGGCTCGGTTTATATCTACCACTTTATTATTTGTTTTCTAACTGCCCATATGTTCTTTTTTCACTTTTAAGCCTTTCCTTCCTTCTTCTGGATTGAATTTTTTGTTGTTTTCTACTGCCCATTTTATCTCCATTATTGGCTTGTTGGTAATACCACTTTGTTTTCCTTTTTGTTTTCACACAAGTTTCTCTAGGATTAAAAATATACATCTTTATTTAACATATTACAGTTTACCTTCAAATAATATTACAACCCACTGAAAGTACAGTGTAGGGATATTATAACAGTATACTTCTATTTCCTCTCTCTCATTCTTTACACTACTTTCATTAATACTTCTTATATCACACATCCCCTGGAAATAAACTCTCTTGGCTTTTGTCTGTCTCAAAAAGTATCGTGTCTTCTTTTTGAAATATATATTTGCTGTGTATAGAATTCTAAGTTGATTTTTTCTTTACTGTAAACATGTTGCTCTACTCTATTCTGGTTTGCATAATTTCTGAAGAGAAAACTGTAGTCATTCTTAATTTTATTCCTGTGTGCATAATGTTTCTTCTTTTTCTTTGGCAGCTTTTAAGATTTACTATCACTATTTTCTGACAATTTGATAATAATGTGCTTTGGTGTGATTTTATTCTTGTCTCTTTTACAAGGATTTTTTTGAGCTTTGTGAATCCATGATTTTATCATTTTCATCAAATTTGAAAAAGTTTCAGACTTTATTTCTTTTAACATTTTTCTTTTTTCATTCCCTCCCTTCTAATCTCTTCCGGGACTACATCTCTAGATGTGTTTGACTGTTTAATATTATCACACAGTTCCCTGAAGCTTTGCTCACTTACTTTTTAGTCTTTTCCTCTGTCTTATTTTAAATAGTTTCTGTGTCTGCCTTCAAGCTTATTAGTATTTCCTTTAGAAGTATCTTATCTATAGTTAATCCCATCCAGTATATTTATCACTTCAGATATTATACTTTCATTTGTAGAAGTCAAATTTGTTTCTTTTTCATATCTACATTTCTTTCCTCATCACATTCATCTTTTCCTCTACATTCTTGAGCATATGGGGTATATTTATAGTAGGCATTTTATCTCCTTTTCTGATAATTCTATCATTTGTGTCATTTCTGGGTCTGCTGTTGTCAGTTATATTTCTACTCTTTATGGGTCCTATTTTCCTATGTCTTTTGCATGTTTGGTCACTTTTGAGTGGATTCTGAGCATTGTAAATTTTACTTTAATGGGAGCTGAATTTGTTAAGTCCTTTACATATAGTTGAACTTTGTTTTAGGGTATAGTTGAGTTACTTGGAATTTGATTCCTCTGATACTTTCTTTGTTAGCATGAGTGAAGCATACTTTATAATCTAGGGCAATGTCTTTGTAACCAAGAATACAGTCTTTTGAGGACTCTACTTAATGCTCTCTGAATTTGGAGATGTTTGCCCTCTGGCTGCTGGAAACATGAAATATTCCCAGCCCTGTGTTAGCACTGGGGACAGCCTTTGCTGCCTGCTCCTTTCTGGGGGTTTTTTTCCTCATCTTGGGTAACTCTTTTACATACATGCACAAACCACACATTAGCTAAAGACTCCTGAAGACATTTTTACAGATCTCTGTAGCTCTCATTCATTCTCCCCCAATTTCCCTCTGTGCAGCAGTATCTTCTCCAATATTTTGCTGTCTCCCTGAACTCCAAACTATGACACATCAACTCCGTGAGAATACTGGTCTGCTGGAGTTTCCTCCTCTTTGTGCTGCAGCCTACCAATTTTCTACCCAGCGTTAAGCTGGAGCAATGGTAGGGTTGATTGTATTTCTTTCCTTTCTCTCAAGGATCATTATCTTATGCTACCTGTTATCCAATGTCTAAAAACTGTTTTTCATATATTTTACTCAGTATTCTAGTTGTTTAAAGTGAGATGATAAATTTTGTTGTCCCTCATGACTAGAAGTGGAGGTTCTCTCATCATAAATAATCTAAAGTGGGAGTTGGCAAACTATAGCCTATGGACCCAATCTGGCCTACAACCTGCTTTTGTAAATGAAGTTTTATTAGAACACAATGATGCTCATTTGTTTATACAGTGTATATGGCACTTTCATGCTACAATAGCAAGGCTGAATAGTTGTGATAGGAACCACATGGCCTACAAAACCTAAAATATTTACTATCTGGTCCTTTACAGAAAGGTTTGCTGAACCCCGATATAAAATATTAAAAACAAAATATAATTGTATTCAAAGTCTAGAAATTTTGAAAATATTTTCACAAAAAATATAATCTTAAAGTAAATGTTAAAAATATTACATATTTTATATTTTCAAAAAATGAAATTTTATACAATATCTATCAAAATTAACAAACAACATTCATAGTATAATTAATGAATATCAAATTTAAACTGACAGTATTTAATAAAGCACATAATCTTTTAATTAAAAACTTATTAAACATTAAAAATGTTTATAAAAGTAAAATTACATGCAATTCTATCTTTCAAGGTTCACATGGATGCCAATGTTAAAAAAAAGTATCACACTTCCAGCATATGTCTAGACCAACATAAATTCAGATTTAAGAGTAAAATAAATTGATATTGAGTAATATTTTCCCGCCTCCATGTGCAACTATTGCCAATGCCCATCATAATTTATGAGTCCCTCCTGAATCACTAATTGTTACATAAAGACAAGCAAGAGAATGGACACTGGGTAATATTGAGACATGGTATTTCATTTTGTAAGAATCTATTGCATTCATGCTATCCTTGAGGAAGGGTTTACTAGGCAATTAATGTGTCTTTTCTCTTTCCTCTGTAGCTCAAATCCCCTACATTCCAAGGCAATGTCTCCTTCATGGCATCAGGCACAGTCACTTTTTCGTAGGGAACTGAAAGCAAGAGATGTGGAGAAATGTTTCCCTGGGAACCGAATGGAATTACTAATGAGTATGTATATTTAGAGTTATTGGGCCATATGCGAGCACTGAGCACCGGATCCTAAGTGATGTGGGTACTAGATGTTTTTTAAAAATGT